CGATTCGCGTCGGGCTGGTTGCATGACCGCCCCATGGGAGGATTAACCGCAACACTTACATCTGTAATAACAAAGAGACGTTCGGGATGGCTGACGTATCCGGTTGCAACCACCGCTCTCTAACCCTCATCCCTTATATCAATTTAAGGGGGTACTATCGTCTGCACCTCAATTCAATATTATTACCAAATATATTAAAAATATATTATTACTAACTTTTTAACTCAATGAATGTATTCAACCATAGCCAACTCTGGAGTGTACACACACGTGTCACGCGACAGTCAAAGCGTTATTACAATACAACTTCATTCTATTTAACTTTTGGTAACAACAAAATTATTAATAGCTAGCTACTTTTTCATGCGCGTTTCATACATCTTTCCCCGTTCAATCGATTTGGTAGTGCTCGCGCGTATGCTTCATACCATCATCACTCAACGGAAGTTTTCGTTTTTGGAAAGGCAGAGCATCGTTACGATGGTCGGTTCGTTTCACATAGGGGATACAAGACGCGTGATTATTACTGACATGCGTTTAAGATTAATGCTACCACTGGAGAAATGGAAGAAGCGAAAGAGAAGAGCCGGACACGCTCGTCCTCTACGTACGGGGTTTATTGTGATATGCTAATGTAAATCACAAGAACGAAGTAAGAAAGTACCGTTTAGTTCCAGCAGTTTTTTACTTTTGATCCCTGCAAGACCACTTCCGTCGCTATTATTTCGCGTTTCGAAACGTTCGACATCTTTTCCAGTGGAACAACCGATATTTTTTCGTTAAACTAAATCTATTAATCTCTATGAGAAAACTTTATGAATAATAAATACTTTGTAACTTGTAAATAAATGTCTGAGAAACCACTGTCTCGATTGGTTTTGATTTTAGCTAATATATATCAGCACTTTCATCGCGTTTCCTCTGTCCCAGGGCTGATCTAACCATGCACCTGTCGCGAGCTGTATTGCAAGTAAGCATCGTCGAACGGAAACGAGCATTACATGTTGCAGAACGGATCAATGGCGGTGAGACCAAACGATACCTCTTCGCGGCTCGATCTCCCAGAAGAGGAGGCAACGGTTGTCGGTGTAGATGTCTATCGATCGCCGATAATCTACGATCGAGCGGACCGATTGCGGGGATTTATTATGTAATGGGACGACAAGCAGGAAATAAAATCGACTTGTAACGCCGTGACACGTCTCGCGGCGAGGCTGAAGTCACGTACAATGAAACGACAGGTAGATACGGGCGTACATTCACCGACATAAATAAACGATTAAGATCTCCGATGCGACGCCCGACAATACTGGACCACCAATGAGTCGATCGTCGATCGACAATGAATTCCTTCCGGTCGAATCTTTCAACGACTGCGCCGCGCAATGGTAGCGTTTCGTTTCTCTTGCATAGCCAGTTTTAATCACCGGTGCGGTACATTTTTGCTGTGCAAGATTGCTAAATCTTTGCACTGTCGCAATTTCATTCACGGCGGCTCGCGTAATTCTTTCGCACGCCACACACGATGACCCGTTAAGCAGAAACGCGCGAAGAGCAATAAATCGACGAAGCACGCTGTATCGAAGCCCGAATCGGGTTAGCTAGAAATCTATCATTTTTCGAGAGGCGTGCCGAAGCACTCGTTTAAGGTCAGAATCTATCGATCGGAGCCGCGGCGAGCGTGGACCACCGCTGAGAACGCTGGCGAACAATCTACCAGTCACCCTCCGGTGATCTTAGCACATTCGTCAACTTCATAGCCTCGTAACATCGAGAGACGAACTCGACTCGGGACGAGAGTAACGCACACATTCGCACGCCAGTGTATTTTAACCCTTTCAGGTTTTGATTTTATCTTTTCGTCGAACACCGTAGCGAAACCATCGATAAGCGTACATCGGAATTCTGACGGAATTACAGAACGACTCTCGGACATGTGCACGAATTTCTGGTGAATTTCCCAGAAAGAGCCAGATTTCGGCCATTTTCTCTTCCTTACTCTTTCCAAGACTACGAGACGTTTCAACGAAGTAATTAAAAACAAAAGAAAGGAACGAACTAAAAAGGCTCGGCTCGTTTCAAGAGCGGACGCGAAGTGCGCGTTTACGAGGGGCTTCGGGCCCGATGCGCAAACGTTTCCGTTTAATGGTACAGGTGGAAGCTTCCGTGGCGCCGTTGATGAACCAAACGGTCCTTCGTGATATCGAAAGCGGCCATACTCGGCGAGCCTTTAACGATCAGCATCGACGATCGTAAAATCCGCGATCTCTGATTAGCCGAAAGCCCCGAACCGTAGGGGTAGGAAGGCCGTCTGAGCGGCGAAGTAAATTTCAAGGTCCTGCCTTAACGACGGGGGCGTGTTTACGGTAGGCAATGTCCCCTAGTTTTTGTCCGCAGTTAGAGCCCGGTATGGCGGTGCTCTTAATCAAACTTTGATCGCCGCGAGCAGACTCCCTCTCCCCTCCTTGCCCTTCCTCTGTCCGCGCAAAAATCCACGGATATTAGCGAGAGCGTCCCGCGATCCTTTATGATCGCCGTGGAGCCGGCCTGAGATTATAAATCAAGCAATCAACCGCCATAAAAGTCCGCCTACGCGATCGCGCGAGCCTCTTCTTTCCGCAATCGTTCCGCGATTTTTCTTCTTTTCTCTTCTCCCAGAAGCTTCTTCTCTTCTGCATTTCCCAGCTCTGACACATTCTGTTTATCTGGACCGACAAAATATACTTAGAAACTGATTCGTATGTGTGATATTTGTAGAGGAACGCGCCATTCTGAATCTAAACGTCGATATCATTTTGAATATTTGGGGTATTTCTGGGACATAACTAACAGATCAAATTCATTAATTTTTCTTGCGGAGGCATGTTAAGTCCTGTTTCTCGCGATAGCGAATATTTGGCCGATAGTGTACGTAATATCGATGTTGCAAAGACCACTAATGGGACGGAGTTTGGACACCTTAACGTACGCTCATCTCGAAATTTGTTACCTCGCCATTCCAAGTTATCGCCACCTCCCCTGGCAGACACCCAGGCACCTACCCTCGAAATGTCGTGGCGCGATTGCGATTCGCCATGGCAAGGCTCTCGCCGCGCGGCGGACAAACCGACCAGCAAAGACGATTGTTGCGCCAACAAAATACGCGAGCCGAGTCGAGAAGAAAAGAAATCAGGACCAGTCTGGGGTCCCCGAGCATTGTCGCGGCTAGAACCGTCGCGTATATATAACCGAGGAGTTTAAGAGCACAATGCACCATAAATCAGCGATCATCGCGCGTTCCCTCGCGCGGCCGATTCACGCGGAACGCGTGGGCGAGTCCTCGCACGCGCTCCCCCCGAATCGCCCAAATCGCGTATCTTATCGTCGATTTTCCATTCTGCACGCCAATGGTAAGTAAGCCCGAATTGTCGGGAGCACGCGACGATTGTGATTCACGACGGTTTCCCGGATGTCTTTAGACCGACACACAGCGGGTCAAAACGGACGCACGGTAGGCCAGATTTAAAAGCGGTTCGATGAATCAAAAGAAACAAATCGAGAACCTATAAAGTATGTATTTCTTACGCAACGAGACGAAAAGATAGTCTTACATCTGATATATTTTGATATTACACTATTTTTCCAATTCGGATTCACTTGAATCGAGCGGCTCCAGGGACCACGTGAATTATTACACACCGATTTCGATAAAACGTTGTAAACAAATAGAGAAGCGTGAAATATTAGATCCCTGTTCGACAGCGTGAACACTGAATAGTTTACGAGGTATTTAACATGTTGACCGCCATGTGTATCCAATTGGATACACACCTATGTAAATCCAGGGCGCAGCGTGTATCAATTTGAATAGACACACACTTCCCACTTCCTACCAATTGTATATGAACCGAGAACATTGATTTTATATGGTATATTATAAACTCTAGTAAGCGTGTATCAATTTAGTCGAAGAATTGTAATAATAAACACATAATAATAACATATTTTATCATTAAATTTTTCATTTGCAATGATATAGGTATTATTAAAAAATTATTAAATTTTCCACAAGGAATTGATATTTTTATTTATATTTATCAATAAGCGTAGACATAGTATTATCAAAGATTCGTATTCCGTATGTGCTTCGACTATCGTATTACGAATGTAAACAGATAGACGTGCATCTAGTTCGCAAATGATCGAAACGTATTCTGATTTGTATTCACACACCGTGCAGGCCCAATCATTCTATTTGCCAGTGGATGAGACGAAATGAAATGAAATCTAGAAATTCGGCTTATTCTACTCGCGAACGCGACGGCTTTATTACTTTCATAATAATCATCCACTTCCTCTTCGGATAGAACGACGAATGAATATTTGATTAATTTACCCCAACTTCGCAGGTGTTTCTCGCCGAAAGAATTTCTCGTATTTTACATACGTATTTGCAATCGAATAGCATTTTGTTTTGATTAAAGTTACGTTGTATTCTAGCATCGATAACTGTACTAACAAAAAACAATATTAAAAGCCATACGAGAATTGCTTAAAAAAGTGCAACACAAATTTCTAAAATATATTATATATTTTCCAAAAATGTTTGGAGCCTTCGATTAAAAAGCTTATTTATTTCTAATTTGACATATTCAGACACTAATTAGCATAAGCACGACCAATCGATAATCGATAATCGACGATGAAAAATCGACTGATATATTTAGCGTAATTTGTAGCTAGCTCATTCAGTGGAACAAGAATCGCGGAAGATTATGATAGTGAAACAACAATTTATGCAAATATAACATTGTTTTATTTTATAAACGTAGGACGAACGACGCAGGTCATTACAAAAATAAGATTATAAAATATATTTCACTTAAACAGATTACGTGATTATTGCGCGTATAAACGATAATAATCTATTATTGTTTAATCGTTACAAAATGTATATCGAATCAACCAGTATTACACACGCACTCGCGCGATTTCACTATTTTTTTTATTATTCTTTATTTCTTTTAATTTTTAATAACTACTGGACTACCTTTTCATATTTTGTTCGTTAAGAAACAATCTTTCATTCATTTCAACTTAATAAATGGTTGCTTCGAATATTTAAATGTTTCTTGTCTCATTCTTGTTTTCTTTTGAAATATAACAAGATTTACTTCTTTAATATGGCTGAATATATCATTCACAGCACAGTTATACATGTTTTAACCCCTAACGAGAATCAGTTCTTACTCGTGCCAAGTAACAATTTCTTTTCCGGTTCTATAAAAGTGCTTACTACACATTTCCGCCTTTCTACTAATACCTGTATGTTTACTTAAATAAAAAAAAATGTAAATAGATCAATGAATACATCATTGTATTTTAGAATATTTAAATACAACACAACATGTGCTAACGAGTGTTGAAAATGGAGTTCAAATTGAAACAGAATTGATGAAGAATTATGCAACCATAATGACAAGTGAGAAATTCAATAATGTTTTGATTACCAGTTTCGTAAAAAATATAATCATTAAACTACAAAACATATTTTTATCGGTATATACTTTCTTATCTGTATTAAGTAATAGTTTATCTGTGTATAACAAAGTAATAACATTCACGAGCTCGAAAACCATCTCTCTTGTTAAAAGTTAACAATTTCTCTCTATCTCATCATTTAATAAGGAAATAGAGAGCTAAATTCAGATCCTATCGATCTGGGCTTATATAAAAAAAAAAAAAATCGTATTTCTTGAGTATAAAATGCTACCTAAAATTATCTTACTTCCCAGCGACTTTCGGACAGAATGTTCATTTTTGTTTCGATCAATTATTAACAAAAAAATGTTCGGGACTATATATAAAACCAAAAAAAGGGAGAAAGAGAAACAGAAAAAGATTAACGGTATTCAGAATGTGCCGTTAAAAAATGTTCAAACATCTTGTTCATGTTTTCAACTCTGCACGAAGTTATACGTGCGTGAGAATACGTTATGGCGAGTTTAAAGTTTTGCCTGCCAATGTCGCTGCTTTAGAAAGTACTATTTGAATATCCATTGAAGGAAAATTCTAAACATAGAATAAATTATATAATTTATCAAAGTGATAAAAAAAATTAAATATTCCATATTTTTATTTCGCTTGCTAGACTCGATGCACGTTTGAAATGAAATTCAAATTATACTTACTTGTAAAAGTTTTACGTTCGTAGCAAAGTCTCCGGCAAATAGTTGGTCCCTTAATAACCTAACAAATTTCACATATCGATTTATATTTATTCGAAGAATAAAATATCCTGAAATAATCGATACTTACAAAATCATGGCACAGCATATGTGTATCAGAAAGCTGAATCTATTCTCATCAGCGAATAAGGTATCCCAAATTCTCATAACATCCGGTAACGGAAATTCTTGAGACAGAAGAAGCGTCAACCATCTAAAGAAAAATTTATATCCGTACGTATCTTAATCTTTTCTTAATAATAGGGGTTAATAATGGGGTTTTTAATTTAATTTAATTTTACCTAAAACTGTAATATTGTGGACATAATTCCTGTTGGTGTAAACGCAACCACACTTCCGGATCATTAGTCTTTACTTGAGTAATAAGTTTACTCATCATTGAATTTATTCCGAACTCAGCTTCGTCTAACGACTTTATAAAAAAATCTCGAATTTCGCTCATCAAATTAGTAAAGCAAAAGAAGGTATCTGCTTCCGCGTGTTCTACAAATAATCTCATTTAAATTTATTTGGAAACCGCGTGAAAACATGTATCTACTATGCTCCGCTGACTTGAAGACCCGCGGAACGGCACAGGGCCTGAACCGAACCGTTCATCCCCATGTCTAACGTTCTCCAAGTCGCACATTCCGAGCCTTCGCCACGCAGTGTGACATAATACATGGTAAGAACAAATTTCAAATCTGCGTGTAATTGCCGCGTCAAATAGCAAACTAGAGTTCAATGTGTACGTGCGAATAGGTGTATCCCCTTCATTTTTTTCGCATTCCTACCGCGAAATTTCAAGTCCGCGGATCAGAGTACTTTAACGACAGTTGTTCGTAATTAACCTCTCCATGTTTGGTCAGGATCACAAGCAAACGTGTGATAAATAGGACCAACAATTTCATTCATGCCTTGCACATAACCTTGACCTGGATTGAGCTTAGCATAAAGAAAAAGTATTCTTTCTAAAACCTCCCAATGTGCTTCACCACCTTCTGCAAGTGGTGCATAATCTTCCACAGCTTTCCTAACGAAAACTGCTATCTGCAAGTAATTATATAATTTTCGATATTCTTCTTAACGACACCCACAGCTGATCGACAAGAAATTTGGAGGGAAAGTGAGGGAGAAATAATATTTCAGCGGTAACATGGTCTTTGAGTTAACTAGCAAAGAAATTCATAGTGAGTTCGCAGCTTTTGTGTCAAATTTTAATTTTGTTAACCGTAAAATATTAGTTTACAATATACTATTCCAACTCAGAATCGCAAGTGTATGGGTTTCTATGTGTTAGGTTGACTGTGTGTAGCTCGTGTGGCAAGATGGCATAAGAGAGGAAAACGCAGAGTCGTTGCCATCGAAACACAAGATCGAACAATGATCCAAGGTGAAAAAAAACTCACTTCCTAGGACAGTATTGTATAAGACGTCGAAGATATACTAATCGTAAACGTGCTTTGACTTTGTTTTCTTTTTAAACTCAAAATAAGAGATAGCCTCCCCATTCTCCCCTCCTCCCTCTAATTCTTCAAAATTTCCTATTCAGCTGCGTGTATCGTTCAAAAAAACAGCTATAATTGTTTAGAAGATTTGTTTCAAATAATTCATAAAATTAATGATGTTACCTGCTGCTTTCCATATCAGCATAAGAATATAAGAAATGAAGTTAGGTTTATCTTTTTCTTAGGTTATTCAAAAGTGTAATTACCTTAGTAACACCAAGTCCTTTCCTCTCCACATTTGCGCTTCTTAAAACTGTATGCTGTACTCTATGGTGTAAACGTTTCTGCCCACTGGAATTCACAATATCTGCACAGGGATAATCTGTACCTTGTTGAAAGAATGATATATCCGGACAGAGCCTCCTACAAAAGAGGCACTTACTTGACACTTTTCAAAATAAGAAATAATGCTAATCTTACCTAACATCTTTGTCTATCTGTAGAAGAACTTCGTTGTCCTTAAAATACGTTTGCCATTTGCTATCAGGATTTAAATTTAAAGGATGATCGTGAAACGTGACATCTACTCTTTCACCGTCTGAATTTATTTCACCAGGCATAACAATGAGATCCTCTGTAAACAATGAACATTTTTGTTACCGTTTAGTTTATTTACTATCCCACTAAGTGTTACGAGTAAAATAAAAGTTTGTGGTTATACTGATAAAAGTTTTATAGAGCATTCTTTTGCGTGTATGTGTTTCGGACCAACTAGCCCTTGTAGGAGGCAAATAATTTAACAAAAGTTTCCAACACAATGGTCTTAGTCCTCCTTCATCCGGTATTCCTACAAACAAGATTTGATTGGTAAATATAAACTATCGATTAGCTGCATTATTCAACCAAATCTTATACGACTCGGAGTATACAAATATTGGTTTACTAAAGAGATGGATAAAGAAGGATTAAAATAGACACAAAAGATCATACCATGGAAACATAATCGTTTCAAACAGACAAGATCTATTTCTTCATCATTCAAAACATCTTCGAATTCGTTTAATCTGAAAAAGTATAATTTCTAATTGAAAATTTCCTTGCTGATTAAAAAGTACGAATGGTATTACCTTTTTTTCAAAATACTCATCGTGACTGCGTGTGGCACGTGTAATACTGAATGAGAAATCCGCTATGTTCTTATCGGCATTCGATAGACGTGTGGGCGTATAATGATACCTATTTCTCACATTGTCAGTGCCCTGCTAGATTGACAGACGGACTAACCACCATTTTTTCACTCGCTCAGTCGACTGTCTTTTATATTAAATAATGATTCAAGGTTCTTATCTCATGAAGCGGGGAAATCTTTCTTATCATTGCAATATGGCACTTTATACTCGTGACTACAGGCACGCGAGCTATAGTTTCTGCAGAAGTTAATCTGATTCTAACCTAACCTATACGACGCAGATGTCTATTACGATACATCGAGAACAGGATTTTCTCCCTTCATACCGATCTAATTTCTCTCTTATCACAGTGTACTAAATTAAAATACCATTTAATGTTTAACATTATCTCGATTTCATAGATACGAAAAGCTAGAATTATTGAACGAAGATTATACAAAATCAGGTTATTGAACGAATTATAGGATTGTGGAATGTAAACATACAAAGTAATTGATCGTTCGACCCAAAGATAACAGTTTGTATCTTCCAAAATGTAATAAAAACAATGAAAATTGTTAGGAAGTTGTTTAATGAATTAATAAGTGTACAAACAAAAATTTGACAATTGTAAAAAATATTTCAATGACATAGCACGCATATTGGGGATCTACTTTTTGTAGAAATAGAATTTGAATTATACAAAACATGAATATTATATAATTTCAAAGAAAAATTAATTTCATCTCAGTGTTCGATAATCTCTCGATAATAATCTCGAAATGCAGTCACGTAAGACGCTAATAAAATTACTAAGAAAACACTGTTACATCGATAAACATTTATATGAAGAAACATTCATTAAAAAGTTTATCGACGTAAATTAAATTAATGTGTAAAAAATGTAGATTAAAATTTAAATGTAAAAAAATATTTCAATCGATCGATTTGCATATGAATCACATAATCGATTAAGATTCAGTCCGTAAGAGGAATTATCGAAACTATCGAATCTATTGAACAATGGACGTTTCGCGTAGTGCCGTTATAAAAGTGTAAGGATAATAAATCTTCAAGTAGTTAAATGCTGGTCTGGAATCTCTGTGTTATTCTTTTACAGACGTAGTTTGTAGGTACTTGGGATACCCTTGATCGCAAGTATCAACAAAGTTACTCGAGACTCGATGTTTAACCTTTCTTTCGAAAATACAGATCGAGAAGCATCGAGACGTTGAACCTCTCCCCTCCCTCCCCACCGCCTGTTGTTAATTTGCGGTGGTGACCGCTAATACTACGGTGTCGTCATTCGTTTGAAGGAAATTGGCGTGTCGAAACGTGTTCAGACGTGTTTACAGTATCTCATCTGATAAGGTATATACGGTTTTCCTATCGACAACTAAATGCTTCTAGAAGCTATTACTACGTTTCATTACTCTCTACCGGTATTTTCGTTTAACATTAATACGTTTCTATTACGAATGCAGTCGTCATCGCGAAAATAATTGAATCATTTTCGCGCTTTTTCTCAGATATCTAGTTGTCGTCAATTGTCGTTATGTCTTACTCATTTCGTACGACATACATATTTCGGATTTAATTTTTGTTTAATTACGATATAGGTACATTTATTCTAATACATTTGATTTTATGTTTTATTTCTGTTACACAGTCTAATTGAAATCCGAATAGGAGAATGCTACCGACAATCAATCGCCGCCATGTTACTTCGAAAACACAAATCGAATGAATTTCTAATAACGTGTAAGTATGATACAGAATTTTATAACAAATTAGTGTTACGATTAAACAAGAAAAAATTAACGATTAAACAAGAATTGTCTAACAAATTACTGTGTTACGATTAAACAAGACGAAATAGAACAGCACAGTTGTTTCTTATATTTTCTGTCCTCTTTTACAGACTCAAGACATCACATTACCAGATTTATGAACCTGGAGAACTTCTTGGGCGACTTTGGTGATGATTTCTACTGGATGACATCGTACTGCATCGTACTGGTCGTCCAGGTACTGCATTCTACATAATGAGTGAGTTGCATGCCAATTTTTGTTCCTCTGGTCCTCAATCATGTCGAAGGACAAAAAGGTCCGAATCGACACGAGTGACCAGTTGTATACGTGTTATCTTTGGCAAGTATAATGACCGCGGGTATAAATCGTACCCGTGAGTAGTAACATTTACTGATATTTTTTAGTTTAGGCTAGAGTCTTCTTGTACTTCGTGTTTTTTAAATATCATAAATAAATGCTTCACAGAGTAACAAATAATTTTTAATACGAACATTTATAAATGAAAATATATTAAATATTTTCATCATATGATTGAGTATCTAGGTGTTCAAATATGAATATTAATTATTTATTAACTTTATTATAAAAAGATGATTTTACAATATCATGTACAAGAAGACAATTCGCAACTGGTAGATTTTTTACTCAAAGTAACAAGCATTTGATACTTTTTTGATTCTTTTTAAATTTACTTTGACAACAAAATCGACCGAGAATATTTGAATATTTGAATTAATAATACAATAAATTTATTTAGACGATATATCGAAATGTTTTACAGTATATTATTTTATCATAACATCTTAATTAAAGCTTTTCCTTTCAAATATTTAAATTCCAATTAAAATAACTTTCTTTAATAATGGAATTTTTCATAGTTCCATATATTAATATTAATATATTTTAGTTTTAATACATCACAAATAAAGGGCTGAGAATTAAATAAAATATACCACCGTTTCTGTTATTTATTAACCACTCTTTCTAGTTTAGGATTTTCAGGATACTTTTCCGTGTTCGTTGCCTGAACTCATCCAAGTGCCCAGGTGCTACTTGGGTGAGCGATGACAACGGGCACGATGACATAGTTTGTAAGATTTATAATAATAATCAATATGTGAGCGGCTGACACTGCTAGTGAATCGTGCACGACGTACTGTCCACATGTGTGTGTGTGTGGTTAGGTCGTGGAAGTACGTCGTTTAACAATTTACATACAGAATTTTATAACATTAGATTCCTATCAATTATAACAATAATATTAAATTTCTATTTACAAAAAAAAACAGAACTTTTTAACGAGGCCTCAAACAACAAATTGGTATCTTGATTTTCATCTTATTTTGGCCTCTAGAATCTCCTATTAATATTTTTCCTCGAGGTGGCCGAACACCCTCTATGTATACAGTATATTTTATTAAAGATTATATTACATAGAGTAAAACGTTTTATATAAATATTTAATTATATAATAAATTTGCGCAATGGTCACTAGTCTTTGTCAGTCGATTTCAGGAAATGGTACGTACCTTTAGAGTGTGAATGTTTGCAATATTCGGGTGTCGGAGGAACCCCGGGGAGTCCTCTCTAGTTTAGGTCGCGCCCGAATATTATGCGTGAGAACCGTGGAGTGTTTGTTTGCGAGAATGAGTTTTGCAATTTTTTAAATATAGGGTTAGGTAGGTAGGTAACTTTTTCTCTGGTGTGTGTGCGCTTAATCTAAGTAGGTAGGGTCAGGGCAGGACTGTCCACATTAGTAATTCGGGTAGGCACGTTTTCGCGTGGCAGTTCTGTTCCTGTAGTTACGATTTCGAGAGTAGAAATCTTGCTGATTCAAACGGTGCACTTGTGCTGTTTGTTTCGGCTTTATTTTCGACTCCTCGAATCGCGCGACTCTTAAAGTCGCTCTCTCGCGCTCGCGGTCGTGATTAGGTCTCTTTCGAAACGTTCGTCGGGCTCGAGATTCACCACGTATGCTCTTCCAACAATTCGTGCATTGTTGGAAGACTACGAATTGCACAAAACCTCGAGCCCTGTCTTTCGTAAGTTTCAGGCGTCGGCAGGACCGCCGAAGAAAGAAAAGGCTCTCAATGAGCTGAAGAGGCCCTGACAAACTGTTTCAAGAGTGGGCTGCAACAAATGGTTTTTCATCTTCATCTTCGGATGAGAATGGAAAGTCATTCATGTTACTACTTTGTCATTATACTTGCCTGTAGTTGTAGTAATTGTAGTTTTTCAGATGGTACTTGTACCACAACGCCCAGTGTTGGGCAAATTGCGGGTTGCATTAGCGTTGCGAATTACGAATGTTAATCGCGTTTGTTTCCAAGATAGCGTTGCGAATAATTTGAACTTCTCCCGATTACATTTAGAGTTGCGTACGGTGAATACTTTTCGCGTTTGTTTTTCAGGGTAGTGTCACGAATAAAAACTGATCACGGTTTGCTATTAGCGTTGCGATATATGCATATTATTCGCGATTGTTTGCCCAGATATTGTTGCAAATAAATTGCATTAATTTTATAGTTACATTTAGAGTTGCGAAGTATGAGAATTTTTCGCGTTCGCTTTTCAGCCGAGTCTTCAGGAATTACGAGTCGTAATTCTCCACAGTCTGAAACGACTGTACTGCAGCATGATTACGGTTAGTATTGCACATTATTTAACATGGACACACGTGATTTTATTAGGGTTGCGAATAACGATGCGCCCTACGTGGCTGCTCTCGGGAAATTCTTCATTTTTATCTTTTGTTAAATAATAAATTAGAGTTGCGTATAACGAAGCGCCCTACGTGGCAGCTCTCGGGAGATTTTTCATTTTATATTTTATGAATTAGTGTTGCGATATGAAAAATGGTCCATTTACAAGTTTGTCTTGAAGTGGAGAATAATTTTTTTATTATGGACAGTATTTCTTATGTTTGTCAATGGAAATAACTGTTCGAGGAGGTAATAAATTAGGAGTGGATACGAAATACAGAAGACGGCCTAACATTGTTTATTACTTTTTTGTATTCAAGGTATCTCGAATTAATAATACAAGCAATAATATAATCAAAGTTTATGAATAAAAAGCGATGAAACTAAACATCAGACGTTACACCTCATTCGTTATTGGTCACATTGTCTCATTCTCGAATGATTGATTTTATTCGCATATTTACGGTTCTTCTGTTTTTCTCATTCATTCATTCTCTTTCTCTCTATCTCACATTAATAATTTGTACTTCTCTATTGGCGCAATCCCTTGCCTCTCTAGTTTCTAAGAAACCGGTCGATTGCTTCACCAACGTCGACAGATTTGCGAGGTTTTACTATACGTTATTTTTTTTTTTTTTTTACCACGATAATAATGTTTGCGAAACGATGCGACACGATTCGCGTGGATTACAGTCTTCAGCCTCGATCGACAAACGAATTCGAAATTCGCGACGAATCGACGAGGGTGGAGGATTCTGTAGTACACGAACGAAGAATCCCAATTTTCACGATTAAGACATCGGAGTTTCAAGGGAATTCCTCTTTCAGAACGAATCTAAGATCAACAAGCATTCGACGTTGTCGAATTCGGTTTTCGT